CATCTCTGGTGGCACAGCTCCAAGCCCCTGGTGAGGCAGAGCCACCTGCACAGGTGTCTGACCCACTGGTGGTTGAGCCCAGAAGAACTAGAAGCCTTTCTGGGGTGCCCATGCCCAACCCTCCAGGGTGGCATTGCTGGGACCCCGGTGTTGCCCTGCTCAGCACATCCATGTGCTCCTGCAGAGGTGCCCAGCAGGACTGCAGGCACTGAGGAATGACACTGTCTTGACACACCAGATCTGCTGAAGGCTTTTGGCTCTTCCATGCTCCCTGTTTAACATGAAATCAGCTGATTTTTGTATTGATGGGAGATAAGGGTGCTGCAGAAGTTGCTGGCAGCAGAGGGGTGGGTTTGGCAGCTGTGGGGGTCCCTCAGCTCATGGGGAGAATATTGGATTATGTGAGAGGTTTCTATGAAAACCAACAGCAGCAAAACAGTTGATAACATCACTGTGCATCAGTAGGGCTCGGAGTTAACAGTGTGCTAGGACACTCTGCCCTGGGTACATTTGGTCCCAGCAGCGCAAGATGGGCCCCGGTCAGGGAGTTTTGGCAGGAGGGGAGGTGCATGTGCTGCAGGAAGATTTGGCTGATGAGGCTTGTCCAGGAGGAGCTTGGTGTGCCATCCACCTGTGCCGTGGGGATGGGAACTGCCTGCAGCCGCGCTGGCAGCAGGGCTTGGCCTGGGACCGTGACTGGCCAAGGTGGACTCAGGTTGCTCCCTGCCAAGGCGCTAAGATCCACTGCTCCCGAGGGTGGAGCAGCAGCACTGGGGTGGGGGCTGGAGCTCCAGAGCCTGGCTGGACCCAGATCTCTGCACCAAGCCCTCCACTATGGGCAGCAAGACCAGCCCTCTTCCAGTCCTGCCACACCTCCCTGGCAGCCTGGCATCCCCCTCATACTGTGACCCTCACTCTCTCATGCTTCCCAGCAAAAATCCAGGCACAAATCTTTCCTGAGAGCCTCAGGAAACCTGACAAGACAACCTGTCAGCCCCAGCCAGTCCTGGCACCCCGGCATCACTGCATCACAGCCAAGGGCACTGCCAGGCACAGGGTGGCCATGGCCAGCTGCCCGCCAGCCTTCCTACAGTGATGTCTCCAGCCTGGCCAGGACTATTTGGTGGCACATGGATGCCCAGGCAGTGCTCACCACTCTGCCTGGCGGGCAGGCTGCCTGTGCCAGAGAGGCTGCTTCCAGAGGGGTGCTTCCAGGAAAGCGCCGCTTCCCCTGTGCCTGGCTGGTTTTACACTCTGCAGGACTGGGACAATGCGAGGAAGTCGCCTGAGAGGGGAATGTGGCCAGAGGCCCCGGGACAAAGGGGCCCGAGACCTGAAATCAGCCACAGCATGAGAGATAGCAGTCACAGAATTGAGGGTCCTGGGTGGCTGTGATGTTTGTGTTGACCCACAGTCCTCACTCCTGCTGCCACCAGCATGTGGGAGCTGCCAGGAGGGCACAGTGCCACAGAGACAGGCAGGATCTATCCCCACAGGACTGAGGAGTGGTCAGTGGGACACGCGGGCTAAGAGTCTCCATCTTTCTCTTGCTTTGTCAGAGCAAAGACACCCCACCAGGCTGGGTGGGGAACAGCAGAAAGATTTAAAAGGGACAGGAACATACTCCAGGTCAGGCTGGGGAAGGCGGGACAAGACTGATACTGCTGGGCAGCACTGACCCTGGGGCTATTGCATGGCATCTAGAGGATTTGTGCCCAACGGCTGCCCCCAGCCCCGGGTCCTACCCTGCAGAGCGAGCAGTGCCTGCCGACCCCACCGCCCCACTGCCCGCCCCAGCCCTGCCCTGCTGCCCACCTTACCTGCCCGGTGCCAGGGTGCCAGGAGCCACTCCACCTTGGCCATGGCTGCGGGCGCCAGGGGAGGCTGCTCCCTCCGTCCGCCCGGGAGCTGCTGCCTCAAAACCAGTCCGAGAGCACTGAGCTTCCCCTGCGTCCCCGCCGCCCCAGCTCCGGCGGGGAAAGGAAGCGACCAGGAACTGGTTGTTTGAGTCAGCGCCACAACCCATTGTCCCGGCCCCGGCCCCTCTTCCTTCCCCGGGGAGGGATGGCAGAGGGACCGTGGCTCTGCACAGCCCGTCACCGTCACAGAGACTAAACATCTCCAGCCATGGCTGGAGCAGCAACCGGCACCATCCAAAAGAGGTGGTGGGTCCCTGGGGGGACACAGTGCACGGGGGCTTGTCCTCCTGACAGAGCGCAGTCGTTCCTACATGGAGCAGCTGCAAGCATCCTCACCTGGAAACCAGCACCAGGAGCCTGATGCTGCCCCCTGGCCCAGCTGAGCCACTGCCCCCCAGCCTCCCAGTCCTTACAGCTAACAAACACAGGGGCCCTTCCGAATCCAACTGGCTTTGCCCTGGGAGCTGCCAGAGCTTCCTCTCACTTCGGTGCCTTCCAAAGCCTGGAGCAAAGGCTCCTCGGGGACCACTTTCCCGGTGCCCCAGGGCTTTGTAAAACTGAGCTGGCTTCTCCCAGAGGATGAAGGCCCCTGGGAGCCAGGGCTGTGGCAGACCCAGGAATGCAGCCCCAAGCCCTGGTTTCCTGCAGGAAGAGGCTTTGGAGCCATAGGAGCAGCATGTGGAGCATGTGCCTTGCCAGGGGCTGGTGCCACCCATCCTGTGCCAGGCACCCAGCGATGCCGCAGACCGAAATGTCGGGATGGGTGACGGATGGCAGATACCAGCAGAGCTCATTTCCCACTGGCAAACCAGGCACATGGCTATGATGGATGGGGGGACAAGGAGACCTGCCTCCACGGCCATGGCTTCTCTGGGACCCCATCCCACAGATGTAGCGCCAGTAAAGACAGATGCAGTAACTGGAGAGCTGCCTCCCAGCCCACCAGCCCACGAGGCAGAGACCCAAAAATTCATCACAGTAGTGTCAGCAGCCCACGAGCATGCTGCCTGCTCCAAGAGGCCCCTCCAAACGCTACTGTGCACACAAGCTAGTGTGGCTCGGCCCACTTGGTTCCTCTGGCACATGAAGAAAGGGTGCAGGTGGCTGTGAGCCCCCACCAGTGCCACAGGAGCTGCAGAGATGAATACTGGCCAAGAGGGCAGAGCGAGGGGTCACTTGCCCCAGACTGATCCAGCCATTCCCAGCCTCACAGGCCATGAGGAAGTCTGGATTCTGGATCCCCAATGCAGAGTAAGGCCCCTCTGCACACTCTCCTGTGCACAGGACAGAAGGATGACCCTGCCTGAGGTTAGATAAGGTGCATCCCAGTACGGTGGGTCCTGGCCCTGCTCTTCTGCTGGCACATCCCACCCCACCAGTGACTCAGACCCACCACAGGGCTGCTCCTTATAGAGCCTCAGTTCCCTCCCCTTGGCAGATAAGCTCCAGCCCGGACCTGCCACCGCCTCTCAGCAAAGAAGCCTGCATGGAGCTGCTCAGGAATGCCCCAGCCACTGAGGTCCCAGAAGCCCCAGCAGCGCCCAAGCATTTGCCCCAGCTTTACAAAAGACGAGTTTCAAGCTATCCAGTGCCAAATCCCATTCCTTCCTGCTTCCAACAGCCAGACACAGGTCTTCCCAGAGAGGCCAGGCACCAGAGGGAGATCTGCCTGAGATCTCCAGGGTGACCTGCGCCTGAGGACAGAGATGAACCAGCTCAGGTGCAGGGGCTGGTCCCGCAACCCCCCTTGGGCCCTTCCCACAGCTCCAAGAATTCCTTTGATGATAATGAAGTGTGATTAGCTCCGGTACGATTAGCTCCAGTCCCCCTCGGAGCTACAGCAGCACTGGGTGGGAGGGACAGGCAGGGAGCAGGCCAGCATCCCGTGGTCCAGGTACCACATCCCTCATTCCTCCCAGCTCAGCATCCCTCACTCCTCCAACCCACGGCTCAGCATCCCTCCTGATCCCCTTCTGTGCAACCCGCAGCTCCTGTGCCCCGTTTCAGAGCTTCGCACCCACCGCTACAACAGCGGTTGCAAAATTAGACAGCGTCAGGCTGTGCTGCCACCCCCTCTGCCCGCTGATTATTAAGCTGTGACAGTCACTTGCGCTGTGACAACCAGTCCTCATTTTCCTGCAGTTTCTAAGCAATCTTCCTGAGGTCTCTCCCAGGACTGGCAGCTCCCTGTCTTTGCCCATTCCACTGTGTCCTG